TCATGAAACAGATGAATCACGTTTAAATTAACATTTTTCTTATGTAGTATAGTAAAGTATACTATAGTTTTGACATTACCTTATGGTAATCAAACATGACGTATTCCATTAATATGATAGTGTTAAAAGCGGCGTAAAACCCAACTCACTCACTCACTCATTAATATGAATTACTTAACAGTAGTTTTGTTATTCCACAGTAAACATCGGTTCTCATGTCGGCAAATGTGAAGATGGTTGCACCCCTCCATATGGGGGATTAACTTGTCAAGCCTGCCTTCACGGTTGTTATGGAGACAGATGTACTGACCACTGCAGCCACTGTGGCAGTGATGGGTGTGACAGAGATACAGGCAGGTGTTACAGGTGTAAACCAGGTTACCACGGTGACGGGTGTAACACTATATGTCCAGACAACTGTCCTGCAGATTACAAGGGTGATGTTCACTGTAACAGAAGCTCAGGGAACTGCCTGGAAACTTGTAACAAGGGACATTTCGGGAGCACGTGTCAGAACCGCTGTTCACAACATTGCAAACACTCGTTGTGCGCCAAGACCAATGGGTATTGTCTTGTTGGATGTGCGCAAGGATGGAGAGGGTCCTTCTGTAATGAGACGTGCTCGGCTAACTGCTTGCGAGGTATCTGCCACAGTGACGGCAAGTGCAAAGAGGGCTGCGAATCTGGTTACTATGGCCAGTTCTGTGACAAGAAGTGCTCTAACTGTTACACAACTGGATGTGACAGATTTTCAGGCAGATGTGATCAATGCTCACCTGGTTTCCATGGCGACAACTGCACCATGACATGTAGTCACTACTGCTACACAGAACGTGATGGCTACAGGCATTGTGCGCGTGCAGACGGAACCTGTGTGCAAGGATGTATAGATGGGAGACATGGACCTCATTGTGGTAGCAGTTGTAGTAGCAACTGTAAAAAGTCAGTATGCTTTCCAAAAGATGGGTCTTGTGTCAACGGCTGTACACACGGGTGGAAAGGATCATTCTGTAACGAAAAATGCTCGAAAAGTTGTCGAACAGGCGCCTGTTACACCGATGGAAAATGTAAATATGGTTGCGAACCAGGATTTTATGGCCTGTTTTGTGATAGGCAATGTCCACATTGCCATACCACTGGGTGTGACAGAACATCGGGCAGGTGCGAGGAATGCTCCCCAGGGCGATATGGCAATGGATGCCATCTGAAATGCAGCAATTGTTATGCAGGTCGAGATGGCTTGAGTCTTTGTGATCGTGACACCGGCACGTGCCAGGAGGGATGCAGGGAAGGTCGGTATGGACCAACATGTAGTCATCATTGCAGCAAACAGTGCAGACACTCGTGCTCCTATACAGATGGCTCCTGTATCAATGGCTGTATCGGAGGATGGAGAGGAACCCACTGCGACAGGAAGTGCCCTGAAAACTGTTTGAATAATGACTGTCTCACTGATGGAACGTGTAAGCAGGGCTGCCGCGATGGGTTCACTGGTCGGTCCTGTCACGAGAAATGTTCGACCTGTAGAAACGTTCCTAAATCTGCGGCATCCACTAGTGATGGGTCATCTCGCCTAGCGTCCATGTCAGGTGAGAGTTTAATTCCTCACACAGTCCTTTCCACTAATTTTTGTTTGTTTATTTGTTGCAATATTCCTGCTATATGACGACGGTCTGTAACTAATCGAGTCTGGATCAGACAATCCGGCGATTGACATCATAAGCATCGATCCACGCGATTGGGATACGATGACATGCATCAACCAAGTATGCGAGCTTGACCACCCGATCCCGTCAGAATTCTCTCGTGACAAGCATAGTCGCCTTTTACTGCAAGCATAGGTTGCTGAAGACCTATTCTAATCAGATCTTCACGGGTCCCTTTCGACTAATACGCCAATAAAAGAAAAAACGTCTCATTAAAAGCACGTGTTGTTACAGTTCATATAATGTGACCCTCTATACCATAGGTAATGACATAACTAAACATATAATGTGACCCTCTATACCACAGGTAATGACATAACTAAACATATAATATGACCCTCTATACCATAGGTAATGACATAACTAAACATACAATGTGACCCTCTATACCATAGGTAATGACATAACTAAACATATAATATGACCCTCTATACCATAGGTAATGACATAACTAAACATATAATGTGACCCTCTATACCATAGGTAATGACATAACTAAACATACAATGTTACCCTCTGTACTACAGGTAATGACATAACTAAACATATAATGTGACCCTCTATACCATAGGTAATGACATAACTAAACATACAATGTTACCCTCTGTACTACAGGTAATGACATAACTAAACATATAATGTGACCCTCTGTACTACAGGTAATGACATAACTAAACATATAATGTGACCCTCTGTACCATAGGTAATGACATAACTAAACATATAATGTGACCCTCTATGCCATAGGTAATGACATAACTAAACATATAATGTGACCCTCTATACCATAGGTAATGACATAACTAAACATACAATGTTACCCTCTATACCACAGGTAATGACATAACTAAACATATAATGTGACCCTCTATACCACAGGTAATGACATAACTAAACATATAATGTGACCCTCTATACAATAGGTAATGACATAACTAAACATATAATGTGACCCTCTGTACCACCGGTAATGCCATAACTAAACATATAATGTGACCCTCTATACCATAGGTAATGACATAACTAAACATATAATGTGACCCTCTGTACCACCGGTAATGCCATAACTAAACATATAATGTGACCCTCTATACCATGTGTAATGACATAACTAAACATATAATGTGACCCTCTATACCACAGATAATGACATAACTAAACATATAATGTGACCCTCTATACCACAGGTAATGACATAACTAAACATATAATATGACCCTCTATACCATAGGTAATGACATAACTAAACATATAATGTGACCCTCTATACCACAGGTAATGACATAACTAAACATATAATGTGACCCTCTATACCACAGGTAATGACATAACTAAACATATAATGTGACCCTCTATACCATAGGTAATGACATAACTAAACATATAATGTGACCCTCTATACCATAGGTAATGACATAACTAAACATATAATGTGACCCTCTATACCATAGGTAATGACATAACTAAACATATAATGTGACCCTCTATACCATAGGTAATGACATAACTAAACATATAATGTGACCCTCAATACCATAGGTAATGACATAACTAAACATATAATGTGACCCTCTATACCATAGGTAATGACATAACTAAACATACAATGTGACCCTCTATACCAAAGGGTAATGACATATAAACTAAACATATAATCATGTAAGTCATGTTTTCACTGAATTTGTTTTTAAAACAACAATATGTGCTAGGTGAGCACTGACCTTAATTATAAAATATTGATATACATAAACATATAAATCGTAAATCTCTAAGTTTCATCGTTTTTAAATGTGTATCCGTGTTGCAGGGTTTTGGATCCAAGTGGCTGCGGTCATAGTGTGGGCGTGTCACCGTTGTACAATGAGCTGCCAGGACATCTGAACTGCAATCTTATCGAGGGTAGTTAGAAGAGTCCTGGCCATGCATTGTAAACTGATATGTGAATCCAACCTACTGACATCAACTCTACAGCCATCACCATCAGAAGATATAGAACAAATACTACCAAACTTACTGGAAACGCCACAAAAGTTGCATATTCATGTATACAATAAATATGTAAATCAACTACCAGTACGCATCATGATTATATACATAAAGGATTGTTTATGTACATTCGTGAGTGTATTTCCTTTTTATAAATTTAGTTGCATTATTTTGTATATTTTCATGAGTGTACCATCGTTGTAAACAGCTTGTTTGTGGGAAGACATTTGAAGATAAGGGCGTACAGTGTTACAACTGCCCCTTCTTGAATATGAAAAACGACAATAAATCTCGTTCATGAAAACATTCTGTTATATATTTACTTAAGCGATGAAGCTTCTTTGGGGTTCTTGGTGAAACATGAGGCCCCAAATGCATGCCAGGCAATCAGTTAATGAAATGACTAGTTTGTAACAGCGTGTGATGTGGACTGTGTTTTGTCATCTGCTCTCCAGCGGAGTGAATCATGGTCCATGCTATCATCCACTGCCTTGTCTGGTCCCGAATCGATAGTTATAAGTCAGAACGGGCAAATAAGGCATCAATAAGGTCGAGTGGACATCCCTCTAGCAATCTCAACATCATACATCAAACCTTGCAATCGGTGTTATTCGTCATGATGTTACTGTAAAATCAGGTAAAGAGCTGCAACCAGGTAAATTATTTTGCATAATTCCCAGGGAAATAGTAAACTCTATGAGTGAAACAAAACCCTGCCTCACGAGTGTGTGATACGACTGATAAACTGACGTCGTCACTCTCGATAGTGGTGATATCATAATGGACACTGGTAAAAGTTCAAGGCCACTTGTAGCAACAAGGAAAGCGTTGCCGAAGCGGCACTGCCAAGTCGTGGCTCGAAGAGACCCCTTGATGTTGGTAAAATATGGCACTTGATAATTCGGAGTTGTCTGGCATGTTGACAACACTCTGATCGGTTATTTGGAAATGACTGCAGTGTCAAATAATACTTTAACTGTTTCTTTACTGATATTCGAAGAGGGAACGGGTGGCCCAGTCGCCGCAATTCGCTGTGCGTTCTTTGAACACACCAGAAACCTAGGATCCTGGGTTTGAGTCCCGGTTCACCGTCATTATGTTTCTAGGTTTGTCAGCACCATTCCCGTGCTTGTGGGTTTCACTAAAGCGGTATAAGAAACTAAACTAAAGAAACTATAAAGACAGGTTTCGTCATGCACTGCTGGCAGCCTGCCAGACATGGAGTCAGGTCTTTATAATCAAACACTGATAATGGCTGAAATGCCAAGTCAGAATTATAAATAGATAGTTCAAACCTTGTGGACTTATCTGGGTGTACAGTCCCTTGCACGTATCCTGCACATCTACGAGGCGACACTGGGTTTGTTTGGTCGCGGTCCAATGTGTTCCTGACATAGAGTCCTGGTGATATGCTTTCTCCGATACTGTACTGCATACCGCATATTGGCGTTTAAGAACATGGAAAGAATTCTCAGTCGCATTGTGACAATCGTCGCCTTGATATACATATGTGTTCACGGTAAGAAAATGTTTGTCAGTTTGAAATTTTGCAGTCATGAAACAGATGAATCACGTTTAAATTAACATTTTTCTTATGTAGTATAGTAAAGTAAACTACAGTTTTGACATTACCTTATGGCAATCAAACATGACGTATTTCATTAATATGGTACTGTTAAAACTCACTCACTCACTCATTAATATGAATTACTTAACAGTAGTTCTGTTATTCCACAGAAAACATCGGTTCTCATGTCGGCAAATGTGAAGATGGGTGCACCCCTCCATATGGGGGATTAACATGTCAAGCCTGCCTACACGATTGTTATGGAGACAGATGTACTGACCACTGCAGCCACTGTGGCAGTGATGGGTGTGACAGAGATACAGGCAGGTGTTACAGGTGTAAACCAGGTTACCACGGTGACGGGTGTAACACTTTATGTCCAGACAACTGTCCTGCAGATTACAAGGGTGATGTTTACTGCAACAGAAGCTCAGGGAACTGCCTGGAAACCTGTAACAAGGGACATTTCGGGAGCACGTGTCAGAAACGCTGTCCACAACATTGCAAACACTCGTTGTGCGCCAAGACCAATGGGTATTGTCTGGTTGGATGTGCGCATGGATGGAGAGGGTCCTTCTGTAATGAGAAGTGCTCTGCTAACTGCTTGCGAGGTATCTGCCACAGTGACGGCAAGTGCAAGGAGGGCTGCGAACCTGGTTACTATGGCCAGTTCTGTGACAAGAAGTGCTCTAACTGTTACACAACTGGATGTGACAGATTTTCAGGCAGATGTGATCAATGCTCACCTGGTTTCCATGGCGACAACTGCACCATGACATGTAGTCACTACTGCTACACAGAACGTGATGGCTACAGGCATTGTGCGCGTGCAGACGGAACCTGTGTGCAAGGATGCATAGATGGGAGACATGGACCTCATTGTGGTAGCAGTTGTAGTAGCAACTGTAAAAACTCAGTATGCTTTCCAAAAGACGGGTCTTGTGTCAACGGCTGTACACACGGGTGGAAAGGATCATTATGTAACGAAAAATGCTCGAAAAGTTGTCGAACAGGCGCCTGTTACACCGATGGAAAATGTAAATACGGTTGCGAACCAGGATTTTATGGCCTGTTTTGTGATAGGCAATGTCCGCATTGCCATATCACTGGATGTGACAGAACATCGGGCAGGTGCGAGGAATGTTCCCCAGGGCGATATGGCAATGGATGCCATCTGAAATGCAGCAATTGTTATGCAGGTCGAGAAGGCTTGAGTCTTTGTGATCGTGACACCGGCACGTGCCAGGAGGGATGCAGGGAAGGTCGGTATGGACCAACATGTAGTCATCATTGCAGCAAAACGTGCAGACATTCGTGCTCCTATACAGATGGCTCCTGTATCAATGGCTGTATCGGAGGATGGAGAGGAACCGACTGCGACAGCAAGTGCCCTGAAAACTGTTTGAATAATGACTGTCTCACTGATGGAAGGTGCAAGCAGGGTTGCCGCGATGGGTTCACTGGTCGGTCCTGTCACGAGAAATGTTCGACCTGTAGAAACGTTCCTAAACCTGCGGCATACACTCAGTCTAGTAATGGGTCATCTCGCCTAGCGTCCATGTCAGGTGAGAGTTTCATTCATCACACAGTCCTTTCGACTAATTTTTGTTTGTTTATTTGTTGTTTGACACCGCACTCGGCAGTATTCCTGCTATATGACGACGGTCTGTAACTAATCGAGTCTGGACCAGACAGTCCGGTGATTGACATCATAAGCATCGATCCACTCAATTGGGATACGATGACATACATCAACCAAGTATGCGAGCTTGACCACCCGATCCCGTCAGACTTCTCTCGCGACAAGCATAGTGGCCTTTTACGGCAAGCATGGGTTGCTGAAGACCTATTCTAATCCGATTTTCACGGGCCCCTTTCGACTAATACGTCAATAAAAGAAAATACGTCTCATTTAAGCACGTGTTGTTACAGTTCATATAATGTGACCCTCTATACCATAGGTAATGACATAACTAAACATACAATGTGACCCTCTATACCATAGGTAATGACATAACTAAACATATAATGTGACCCTCTATACCATAGGTAATGACATAACTGAACATACAATGTGACCCTCTATACCATAGGTAATGACATAACTGAACATACAATGTGACCCTCTATACCATAGGTAATGACATAACTAAACATATAATCATGTAAGTCATGTTTTCACTGATCTTTTTTGAAAACAACAATATGTGCTAGGTGAGCACTAACCTTTATTATATAATATTGATATACATAAACATATAAATCGTAAATATCTAAGTTTCATCGTTTTTAAATGTGTATCCATGTTGCAGGGTTTTGGATCCAAGTGGCTGCGGTCATAGTGTGGGCGTGTCACCGCTGTACAATGAGCTGCCAGGACATCTGAACTGCAATCTCGTCGGGGGTAGTTAGAAGAGTCCTGGCAGCGCATTGTAAGCTGATATGTCAATCCAACCTACTCGTGTGTATACGTGACTGACATCACCTCTACAGCCATCTCCATCAGAAGATATAGAACAAATACAACCAAACTTACTGGAAACGCCGCAGAAGTTGCATGTTCATGTATACAATAAATATGTAAATCAACTACCAGTACATATTCATGATTATATACATAAAGGATTGTTTATGTACATAAGTGAGTGTATATCCTATTTATAAATTTAGTTGCATTTGTATATTTTTATGAGTGTACCATCGTTGTAAACAACTGGTTTGTGGGAAGACATTTGAAGATAAGGGCGTACAATGTTACAACTGCCCCTTCTTGAATATGAAAAACGACAATAAATCTCATTTATGAAAACATTCTGTTATATATTTACTTAAGCGATGAAGCCTCTTTGAGGTTCTGGGTGAAACATGAGGCCCCAAATGCATGCCAGGTAATCAATTAATGAAATGACTAGTTTGTAACAATGTGTGATGTGGACTGTGTTTTGTCATCTGCTCTCCAGCGTAGTGAATCATGGTCCATGCTATCATCCACTGCCTTGTCTGGTCCCGATTCGATAGTAATAAGTCAGAACGGGCAAATAAGGCATCGATAAGGTAGAGTGGACATCCCTCTAGCAATCTCAACATCATACATCAAACCTTGCAATCGGTGTTATTCGTCATGATTTTACTGTAAAATCAGGTAAAGAGCTGCAACAAGGTAAATTATATTGCTTATTTCCTAAGGAAAAAGTAAACTCTATGAGTGAAACAAAACCCTGCCTCACGAGTGTGTGATACGACTGATAAACTGACGTCGTCACTCTCGATAGTGGTGATATCATAATGGACACTGGTAAAAGTTCAAGGCCACTTGTAGCAACAAGGAAAGCGTTGCCGAAGCGGCACTGCCAAGTCGTGGCTCGAAGAGACCCCTTGATGTTGGTAAAATATGGCACTTGATAATTCGGAGTTGTCTGGCATGTTGACAACACTCTGATCGGTTTTTTGGAAATGACTGCAGTGTCAAATAATACTTTAACTGTTTCTTTACTGATATTCGAAGAGGGAACGGGTGGCCCAGTCGCCGCAATTCGCTGTGCGTTCTTTGAACACACCAGAAACATAGGATCCTGGGTTTGAGTCCCGGTTCTCCGTCATTATGTTTCTAGGTTTGTCAGCACCATTCCCGTGCTTGTGGGTTTCACTAAAGCGGTAAACATCTAAGTCTAATATATATTTATCACTAAAAGCCTAGGTAAACCTAGATCAAACTGAACCAGGTCTAGTTTCCTAGATTCCATATGAAAACAAAGGAAGAGAAAAGATTCTTTTGAACTTAGTTATTTTTTGGAAATGTTTTAAAATATTGTTTTAGTAATTCGGGTGATGGGTAGTTAAGAACATGTGCAGTTCAGGACATGTGTAGTTCAGGACATGTGTAGTTCAGGACATGGGTAGTTTAGAACATGTGCAGTTTAGAACATGTGTAGTTCAGAACATGGGTAGTTTAGAACGTGTAGTTCAGGACATGTGTAGTTCAGGACATGTGTAGTTCAGGACATGTGTAGTTCAGGACATGTGCAGTACAGGACATGTGTAGTTCAGGACATGTGTAGTTCAGGACATGTGTAGTTCAGGACATGTGCAGTTCAGGACATGTGTAGTTCAGGACATGTGTAGTTCAGGACATGTGTAGTTCAGGACATGTGTAGTTTAGAACATGTGTAGTTCAGGACATGTGCAGTTCAGGACATGTGTAGTTCATGACATGTGTAGTTCAGAACATGTGTAGTTCAGGACATGTGTAGTTCAGGACATGTGCAGTTCAGGACATGTGTAGTTCAGGACATGTGTAGTTCAGGACATGTGTAGTTTAGAACATGTGTAGTTCAGGACATGTGTAGTTCAGGACATGTGTAGTTCAGGACATGTGTAGTTCAGGACATGTGTAGTTCAGGACATGGGTAGTTTAGAACATGTGCAGTTTAGAACATGTGTAGTTCAGAACATGGGTAGTTTAGAACGTGTAGTTCAGGACATGTGTAGTTCAGGACATGGGTAGTTCAGGACATGTGTAGTTCAGAACGTGTAGTTCAGGACATGTGTAGTTCAGGACATGTGTAGTTCAGGACATGTGTAGTTCAGGACATGTGTAGTTCAGGAACATGTGTAGTTTAGAACATGTGTAGTTCAGGACATGTGCAGTTCAGGACATGTGTAGTTCAGGACATGTGTAGTTCAGAACATGTGTAGTTCAGGACATGTATAGTTTAGAACGTGTAGTTCAGGACATGTGTAGTTCAGGACATGTGTAGTTCAGGACATGTGTAGTTCAGGACATGTGTAGTTTAGAACATGTGTAGTTCAGGACATGTGTAGTTCAGGACATGTGTAGTTCAGAACATGTGTAGTTCAGGACATGTGTAGTTCAGGACATGTGTAGTTCAGGACATGTGCAGTTTAGAACATGTGTAGTTCAGAACATGGGTAGTTTAGAACGTGTAGTTCAGGACATGTGTAGTTCAGGACATGTGTAGTTCAGGACATGTGTAGTTCAGGACATGTGTAGTTCAGGACATGTATAGTTTAGAACGTGTAGTTCAGGACATGTGTAGTTCAGGACATGTGTAGTTCAGGACATGTGTAGTTCAGGACATGTGTAGTTTAGAACATGTGTAGTTCAGGACATGTGTAGTTCAGGACATGTGTAGTTCAGAACATGTGTAGTTCAGGACATGTGTAGTTCAGGACATGTGTAGTTCAGGACATGTGCAGTTTAGAACATGTGTAGTTCAGAACATGGGTAGTTTAGAACGTGTAGTTCAGGACATGTGTAGTTCAGGACATGTGTAGTTCAGGACATGTGTAGTTCAGGACATGTGTAGTTCAGGGCGTGTGCAGTTCAGGACATGTGTAGTTCAGGACATGTGTAGTTCAGGACATGTGTAGTTCAGGACATGTGTAGTTCAGGACATGTGTAGTTCAGGACATGTGTAGTTCAGGACATGTGTAGTTTAGAACATGTGTAGTTCAGGACATGTGTAGTTCAGGACATGTGTAGTTCAGGACATATGTAGTTCAGGACATGTGTAGTTCAGGACATGTGTAGTTTAGAACATGTGTAGTTCAGGACATGTGTAGTTCAGGACATGTGTAGTTCAGAACATGTGTAGTTCAGGACATGTGTAGTTCAGGACATGTGTAGTTCAGGACATGTGTAGTTCAGGACATGTGTAGTTCAGAACATGTGTAGTTCAGGACATGTGTAGTTCAGGACATGTGTAGTTCAGGACATGGGTAGTTTAGAACATGGGTAGTTCAGGACATGTGTAGTTCAGGACATGTGTAGTTTAGAACATGTGCAGTTTAGAACATGTGTAGTTCAGGACATGGGTAGTTCAGGACATGTGTAGTTCAGGACATGTGTAGTTCAGGACATGGGTAGTTTAGAACATGTGTAGTTCAGGACATGGGTAGTTTAGAACATGTGCAGTTTAGAACATGTGTAGTTCAGAACATGGGTAGTTTAGAACGTGTAGTTAAGGACATGTGTAGTTCAGGACATGTGTAGTTCAGGACATGTGTAGTGTGAGGTATATGTAGTATAGAACATGTGTAGTTTAGAACACGTGTAGTTTAAGGTATGTGTAGTTTAGGGCATGTGTAGCTGAGAACATGTGAAGATCAAGGCATGTGTAGTTCAGAACGTGTAGTTCACGACATCTGTAGTGTAGGACATGTGTAGTTCAGAAAATGTGCCTTTCAGGACGTGTAGTTTAGAACATGTGCAGTTCAGGGCATCTGTAGTACAGTGGCGAAACAACATATACACAAAAGAACAATTGCCTACACAAATTGTTTTTACTTGCCTTTCGCGGCAATCCACCGGTCTGTCCGCAAGAGTAGCTACCCTTTGTGAAAGGGAAGCTACTCTAACCCTAGTCTATGGGACGTCACGGCCACGACCAGACGTTGTTGACAGTCTGTCCTGTCATAACGTTAAGAAGTGCAGTCAGACGTACACACCGCGACAAAACAAAAAAGGGTAACAATTCCAACTATTTTTTATTTTGGAAAAGGTTCCAAGCCGCAGAGGTCTACAAGCAAGGATATGGATACTAATCTCGCTTGGCTAGCCTAGTGCCGTCGCAAAATTGTTTCGCAATTTATATTGCCAAAACTTGTAAAATGCCTTAGCTTCGTCACAATTAAACACTGATTTTCAGTATATTAGACTGTTCTTTTAATAATGATAGCAATTATCCCAGTAGTTTCTCCAAATTCCCTTTGGTTAATTCTGACTCGAACGCCGAATGACAAAGGCGACGCCATGTTTGTTTACAAACACTGAAAGTAGTCCCTACTTGACCTTTGATATTTGCATCTCTATCCGCATATGACCCGAACGGATATCGTTTTTATCTGTTGGCTTTATCAACACTCCGACGCAGTGGTGACTCAGCATAACACCACTGCCACAGGCTAATTTGCATATCACGTGACCAGACTTTTCTCTTGTTTGTAAACAAACGCGCTTTTTCAGAAATCAGAACGGACTAAAGCAAGTATTTGGGGGCGCTTTACATATTGTTTTGCATAATTGTATAGATATGCTACCTCAACTGCGACAGTGAGTTGCATGACAATATTTATTTATGCATCAAAGTGACCGTATCGCTAGCTCTCCGTTGGGCTTCGATGACAACACATGGAGCCGTACAACCAATGTAAACAAAGGATAACTACGCAAAAACAAGTAGATTTTTACGTATTAGCATACTTTCTTAATGAAATGTAACCATTCTTTGACATTTGTTTATGAAAATGTGTAGACTTGTCAAACATGAAACGGATGAAAAGCATATGCAATATCTTAAATGGACTGTGAAAGATGTGACGAATCGTCACATGGCGCTGGCCTGTGGCAGAGGTACTATGCTGGCTGGCTGCCGGCCGCATGGGTAGGAGAGTGGGCTTTATCCTGCCGTGAAACCTACCAATTGTATGATAAATAGAGGTTATCACGCGAGTGTGTTTGAGTGTGCTGGCCAAGGCTCGCTTAATACAATTTTATTCCTAATGCAGGATATTTTACCATCCCTAAACACACAAGCGTGATAAACTCTTCATCATATAATGTCATGCTTTAATTCTGTGCTTTAAAATCGCTTTCCCTCTCTCACAAACATTACCGAAACATTGCGAGTTTTCCTGGAAAGCGCGTATTAATATTTATTACGTCACAGGGTAAGTGATGTGTCAGTCGGACAGTGACAGAAGCCAATATAGTTCCAACTGAAATCTGTTTCTTATACAGTGGCGAAGCAACATACACGCAAAACAACAGTTATTTTTAATTGCCTTTCGCAGCAATCCATCAGTCTGTCCGCTAGAATAGCTGCCCTTTGTCAAAGGGAAGCTACTCTAACCCTAGTCTATGAGACGTCACGGCCACGATCAGATGTTGTTGACAGTCGGTCTGTCCTGTCATAACGTTAAGAAGTGTAGTCAGATGTACACACAGCGACAAAACGAAACAAGGTAACAATTCAAACATATTTCGGCCAAATCCAACTTTTTTAATGTGTGGAGATGGTTTCAAGTAGCAGAGGTCTACAAGCACAGATATGGGTACTGATCCTGCTTGGCTAGGCGTCGTGCCCTCGCAAAATTGTTTCGAAACTTATAAAATGCCTTAGCTACGTCACAGTTAGACACTGATTTTCAGTATATTAGACTGTTCTTTTGATAATTGATAGCAATTATCCCTGTAGTTTATCCAGATTCCCGATGGTTAATTCTTACTCGATCGCCGAATGACCTGGGCAACGCCATGTTTGTTTATTATAATAAATGATATTTACCTAGCACAATACAGACAACTGTCATACATGATAAATTCGGGTTACCCAAGGCTGAGCCACTCACACCTCGTACGCTTAAGTATAGCTACAGAAATACGACCAGACAGTGGCGAAAAGAATTGTTTTGTAGAAAATACCCAAACGTCAAAATGAGTGTGTTGATATTGAAACTGAAAAGATCGTTTGATGGTACTCAGTAGAAAACAAGTTTGGATATAGCTGGGTCAACAATATCCAACATCAATCAACATTTCGTACCCCAACTACCGTCATACATGAATGGATGAACCCCGAGAGACGACGAAATGTATCGAATGGTCGGTCTCGACGACTTGGTTAATAGCGTGTCATTACACCCAGAAGGCGTGCAACGTTGGTCATAATATTAATCACTGGATTGTCTGGTCCAGACTCGATTATAACAGACCTCCGTCATATAGCTGGAATTTTGCCGAGAGCGGCGTTAAATGACCAACAAAATACTAAAGAAACACACACACAAAAAACAACTACAAATTAATGACAAGTGGTCCGTTGTGTGCACAGTTAGAAGAAAGATCCACTTGTTAGGGTAGGTTGTCAGACTTACCAAAACAATAAATATTTTTCAGTAAGCAATACATTTATATGGTCACAGTTATATTTGCCTTTAGTAGACATGTTGGCTTTGAAAAGGCTGCTTAAAATATAACGAAATTAAAAAAATATAAATTGTGTGCAAAACCTTATGGCAATAACTTCACATTCAACTAGTCCGATTCAGAATAGGGTTTCTGTTACGGGTAACTTCCTCGTAGCTAGTTCACAACCCTAAGTTTATTTTTTGATGTCTAAAGCCACATTCAGCTATTTGACAGGTATATCACAAGGACTGTAAATAATCGAATCATGGACAAACAAACTAGTGACTGATATTATGAGCAATGTGCCACGCCGTCGGTATACGATGATACGCAATCGACTAAGTCACCCAGACTGACCATCCGATCCAATGAGTCGCCTCTTACGACAAGCATGTTTAGACTGCTAGATCTCCCAAAGTTTCCAATATTCAAAAAGCATTCTCAGCATTATGTCCACTATAGTTTCATTGTAATCACGACCGGCGTCACTTCCATGTTTAGTTTCCCTGTGTGTCAAACGTGTGTTTTGACAATACTTTGAAGTGGAAATCTACGCTCGAACAACCTCAGAGTGTGTATCTGACGGAAGACATTGTCCTACACCTAAACCTTCAACAAACATTGTCAAAAGAAAAGGGAACTTTGATTATTTACATTTGTGGCTTCAACACTCCACGCTAACATTCATATGGGAGTATTTCTTTCAAATCATCAGATTAATAATTATGAGACCTGACAATTCAGTCAGAGAATCAAAGCTGCCCAGCCGTAACCTGTCAAGAATTGTGAGAAGTCCACCCGGACGTCTTAGTACATGCCATAGCTTTGACCCCACGACCTCCCGTTCACCCCCATCACGAACAGATATGCGGAAGGAACACTGTGTCAGTCATGCTGACTGAGCCAGACATGCATCTCGGCCAGCACTGGGTGAATCCATATTGGAATTAGTTTCACTAGTTCACGTGACTATCATATCAGATGGTGCCAGCCACTTTGTGGTGCGCAGGATGCCGGGATCTGTAATCCGGATGACGCAGTGCAGTACGCTGGAAGCTATGCAAAGTTTATCTGGTCCGCAGATGCCAGTATCTCAATATTCAAATATATTTTTCGTCTTTTGTATTGCAAACAAGAAAAAAATATTGAGCCCCAAGCTTATGATCACGCATCCATTCTATGTGAAAATCCCAGTCTAATTTATCCCCGTGTTATGGGTTTTCGGACGCTTAAGAAACATTCGTAGTTTTCTCGCCATTCACAAGAACAACTGTAAAACATCTCACTCAATTATAAAAGACGACTCTATCTTAAACACAGGCTCTCATCTGAGTATTTACCTCATATTACAAAATCCGTACTGGCGACAGCCAGGACTCTTAAATAAATATCGGCTGATAGAACTTTATAAGAGTTTCACATGCGGAGGGATCCGTCGGTATGTAGTTTACAGTGAAAGCACATGTCTGCACTGTCTGAATCTGTTCTTTACTGAGTGAGTGAGTGAGTGAGTGAGTGAGTGAGTGAGTATGGATTTACGACGCTTTTAGCAATATTCCGGCAATATCACGGCGTTGGACACCAGAAATGGGCTTCACACATTGTACCCATGTCGGGAATTAAACCCGGCGTGACGACCGAACGCTTAAACCACTAGGCTACCCGACCGCCCCCTTTATAAGAAAGTGTTATCCCAAACATAACATTTGTTACATGAGGTGGCATTTCTCCATTGCTGACCGAGGTATAAAGTACAGTTAACTACGGTTATAACGAACTCAAAGGGACTACTAATTTTAGTTCGTTATAACCGTAATTCGTTATAAGCGTGTTCGCTATAACCGTTGTTTACTGTAGGTAAATGCAATCTGCCGGGTAGACCCAAAACGGAAGGGTCAAGTGAAATTTCATATCTCGAGTGTTCCTTGCTGGCGGAAGTCAAGGTCTCGTGCGAGGTGTGTGTCTGAAATCGAAACCCGTGCTCCCGCTCACGAGGATGATTTACGATGGTATGTTTGATTAATGATATGTGTCTTTGTCCTGCATTTCGCTGCATTTCGATCAGTTATATTTTTCAGGAGGCGTGCGTGTAGTGTTTTTGGATATTTGGGTACCCAAACTTAATATGTAACAATCAGGCAAGCGCCCTTCCAGAAGGTCAGTATTGGAACATTGTATCAACATTTCGCCAGTTTCACTCTCAGTGGTGTAAGTCGTCAAAACAGATAGTGAGTGGTTTGGGTTTGAATAGTAGATCAGTGGCCGTATGACTCGAAGGTTTGACTTGCGTGGGAAGCCAAGTAGTGCAAGAAGTCGTAGAGCTTTTGCAGCATGGGTGAGTGAGTGAGTGTTGAGTGTGTGAGTGAGTGTTGAGCGTGTGAGTGAGGGAGTGAGTGTTGAGTGAGTGAGTTGAGTGCATGGCTCGAAGGTTTGACTTGCGTGGGGAGCCCATGGCCAGCAGTGCAAGAAGTCGTGGAGCTTTTGCAGCATGAGTGAGTGAGTGAGTGAGTGTTGAGTGTGTGAGTGAGGGTGAGCGTGTGAGTGAGGGAGTGAGTGTTGAGTGTGTGAGTGTTAAGTGAGTGAGTGAATGAGTGAGTGTTGAGTGTGTGTGTTGTGTGAGTGAGTGAGTGTGGGAGTGAATGAGTGAGTGTGTGTGAGTGAATAAGTGAGTGTTGTGAGCTAGTGTTGAGTGTATGAGTGAGTGAGTGAGTGAGTGTTGAGTGTGTGAGTGTTGAGTGTGTGAGTGTTGAGTGTGTGTGTTAAGTGAGTGAGTGAATGAGTGAGTGTTGAGTGTGTGTGTTGTGTGAGTGAGTGAGTGTTTGAGTGTGAATAAGTGAGTGTTGAGTGTGTGAGTGTTAAGTGAGTGTGTGAGTGAGTGAGTGAATAAGTATTGAGTGTGTGAGTGTTTAGTGTGTGAGTGAGTGAGTGAGTGTTGTGTGAGTGGTGAGTGAGTGAGTGAATAAGTGAGTGTTGTGAGTGAGTGAGTGTTGAGTGAGTGAGTGAGGGAATAAGTGAGTGTTGAGTGAATGAGTGAGTGTTGAGTGTATGAGTGAGTGAGTGTTGAGTGTGTAAGCGAGTGAGTGTGCTAAGTGTGTGAGTGAGTGAATGAGTGAGTGTTGAGTGAAAGAGTGAGTGTTGTGTGAGTGAGTGAGTGTTGAGTGAGTGAGTGAATAAGTGCGTGTTGAGTGTGTGTGAGTGAGTGTATGAGTGAGTGGGTGAGTTGGGTATTACGAAGCATTTAGCTATATTCAAACAATATCACTATGGGGGACACCAGAAATCGTTTCACACACCGTACCCATTTTGGAAATAGAAGCCGGGCCTTATACTTGACGAGCAAATGCTATAACCACTAGGCGACGTCAAAGTCTGCGATACGATTAAAGTCGTCTTTACAGAAGATACAGTATACCCGTTATCTTCTTGTTAAGCAAGCGAAGAGGACCTCGTGACAATCAACCGGACATAATTCGATTCTAATTTCGCTTGAATACGTGATTGTCAATTGTTTTTTCATGTTAATGTCTTGGGTGTATACCTTCTCTTACATGTATATGTCATGTAAAAAAAGCGAGTCCAAAGAAATTAAAAATGATATATCATGAATGGTGTGACTTATCACACAGGTGATGGTATGATTTATCACACAGATAAAAGTGTGACGTTCGCAAAAATGGCTATCAGAGGGGCCCGACTCGCTATTCGGATAGTCCCGGAAAAACAAGAGTTGGTCACGAATGATGACCTACGAGCTGCATACAGGTACGGATTATCTGTCCCGTGTACATTAAGTCCCGAGCCTTGCTGTGATATTGCTTGAATTATGCTAATACAGGCTTAAAACACAACTCACTCACTTCAAAATCGTCTTCACCAGATTCCTTTTTATTACAGACTCTCCTACGATGGATCTGAGATGCCTCCTTTTGTGTCTAGCACAGATCATGTTCCGCAGCCATATAAAGGCTGAGGTCATCGATCTTTGTAACCTTTCAGCCTGTGACTGTACGGACACAGAAGGCCGTGTAACGGCGGATTGCCGCAATGGTGCATTAACTGAAATACCAAAGAACCCCTTCAACAACACCCGCATCTGTGGTCTGAATCTCGGCACAAACGACATATCTGCACTCAAAGGATATGACTTTCTGTGGTACACGAATTTGACATTCCTTGATCTGTCCTTTAACTTGATTTCTGATATTGAAAATAATACCTTTGTTGGTCTGGACCAACTTCTCTATTTGGATCTGGCTGGCAATAAGGTGTCATCATTTCCCATTCCGGATGTACTGGCCCCTTTAACATCCTTACAGATGCTGAATATCAGTGTAACAGAAGGTTTCATCGTTCGAAACACCATCGACTTTAACACGTCGTCTTCTGGACAGGTGGGTGTGAACGGAACATACAGTGAGGGGATGCACGTGAAATATCTGTCTTTCTCTGGTTCACACATTAAACACCTTTCAGGGGAGACATTCCACTTCTTCCCATGGTTAGAATCTCTAAACATGTCATTTTGCAAAATGGAAACCGTTGAACCTGGCGCACTGTCTTCACTTATATACCTCCGCACTCTGGATTTATCGGGAAACCGGGATTTAGGGTTTCTTGGTGTGCAGAACATTACGACGGGACTGGGTAATTCCAAACTCAGAAACTTAATAATTAACCAAATCGTCAAAGAGAACAGTATCTGCGTAATTGTACCAAAGACTCTTGCGGCCAATCTACAGAACACCTCCTTATACATGTTGGAAGCTAACAATAACTGCATCGAGATATTTCACGAGGATGTTTTCAATCTGTTACCCAAGACGCTGGAGAAGGTTACTATCCAGAGTACCCGCTTCACATATGGGAATTACGTACATAATCTTCAGAACCTTTCGGGTTTAAGATATCTGGATCTGAGTGAACATCCGATACAGGGTAAACTACCTGTTGAGCATAATGCATTCTTTGAGTGGAGCTCCATCTGTGATGATAACCAGTGTCTTATATATGAATACATCGATATTGATAACCAAGATGGCTCAAATGAATTCTTGCCTCCCAAGGAGAGGGATATAAATGCATGTTTGGGAATTCCACCAAATCTTACAACGTTTAAATTAAGCAATCACAGATTATCGTTTGAATTATCGAAAATGTGTTTTAAGGATAACAGACTAAGATATATTGATTTATCTAATAATGCATTTACACGTTGGACTGGTCCAGTATTTGGCTTGGAAAATGTCACCAATTTAAATCTCTCAGGCAACTCTGCCAATCACATATCGCCACACTTTTTCAGCCATTTTACATCTCTTACACATCTAGACCTGTCGCACAACTCATTTGGTTTTCCGAACAATCATTGTAAAGATAGGCGCTACTTTCGCAATCAACGCAAATTAGAATATTTGAATATGTCTTTCAATGGTATTTTCCTCTTGCATCGAGATTTCCTTTTCGGTTTAAGATCTCTTAGAATTCTAGATTTGTCCTACAATTCTATTTTCAACCTTTCTTTTAATTTTGAACATAATACTCATCTAATACATATTAACTGTGCATACAACAATATAAAAACGATAACGCCGTTTGGCAGGTCTCAAATGAAATTGTTACCAGATTTGAGACTAGATCTATCTTACAATCCCTTACACTGCACTTGTGAGAATATTGACTTCTTAGATTGGTTATTGAGTGCCCACATTGCAAGTAACCTACAGAGCTATTATTGTGTGAACAAAGAAAGAAACACGTTGCCATTGAAAGGCAATGCTGAAACAATCCTGACGGGCCTTAAAGTCGCATGCTACAATGTCTTAGGAATAACCCTGGGGGTTCTCACAACACTTCTACTCATACTTTTCTTTGTGTCATCATTGCTTTGTTACCGGTGTCGATGGAAAATTATATATTGGTTTTATGTTATCAAACTGAAACTAAGAAATAACAGAAACGAATACATCTGTCTGTTTGACTTTGACGTCTACGTATCCTACGCCGACCATGACCTTGGCTTTGTCCGTAATGACATGATACAGATACTTGAGCACCTTCGTGGAACTCGCCTGTATATCCGTGATCGAGACTCCATTCCGGGAGCCCCCATATCTGAGAACATCATCGACGGGATTAGAAGAAGCAGAAAAACTGTGTTGTTGTTGTCTCGGGCGTTCCTGAAGAAGAAGTGGTGTAGGTATGAGTTACACATGGCCAACATGGAGAGTGTGTCTACTGGCCGATCTGTGATGGTCATCATCATGCTTGAGGATATTCCTAATAAGGACATTCCACTTGAGATTCTGTATGACATTCAAAATAGTCGCTTTCTTGACTACCCTAAAACAAGCAATGGATTAGAACTGTTTTGGGCAAATGTAACTGCTGCTATAGAAGGATAGGCATACAAGTTGGTGAAAACAAGGTGATTATTTTATTGATGTAAACATCGTGAGCGTAAAAATAAATAAAATCCAAGCTTACTAAAATATTCGTTTGCAGCCATTTCACTATCTAAATTTGATTTGTTTGTTTTCGATTATAAGTATCGCTAAAACTATAATTTAAAAATCTGAACCTTCAAGTGATGAAGCTTTTAGGTTTTGTTTGATTGGTTGTTGTTTAATGCTGCATTCAGTCTAGGTCAGACAAACCAGTGGTTGATATTATGAACAGTGTACCACTTCGCCGGCTAAGATGACATGATGCAATCAGAGTAACCGATGCCAACCAACCGATCCATTTTGTCGCCTCATAACATGCTAAACAAATGGCAATATCAAAATGAACTAGACACACATTTACCTGGTCACTTATTTTCGCTTCAAACACAAACACCAAACATGTCACGATATCATCCTCTTCCCGAGGAAAAGGAGTTTCCACCCTTGCCCAACTAGGCTGGTATTATGGAGTTACATTTTGGCTGGACTAACGAGTCTATGCATAGTCCAATCAAAATCGTGCTCATCCATTTTTTGATGCACTTCGCGATGTAAGACCCGTTTTTTCACACTATAGAACTTGATTATCGATCAGATCGTCTTGACTGGGCGCCGCCATTTTGTTTAATACAAATGCAAGTGGTGCGAGAGGTGGAATCTGATTGGTCCATAGGAGAGGCTCAGAAGGTCAATGACTCGTAATAACCACTGGTGGCGCTACGATCGAGCCGAAGAATTCCAGCCTAGTTCGGCAAGGGTGGAAACTGGACTTTTAAAGTCAGTTAACTCCCTTGCTTCGGGAAGATGTCTGGTCCAGACTCGATTATTTACAGACCGTCGTCATGTAGCCGGAATATTGCTTAATGCAGCGTTAAACAACAAACACCTTCATCAATCAGTGGATTGCCTGGTCCAGATTCAATTTATTTTCTTACCACCGTTATAATGCTTTGATATCGCTAAGTTAACCAAAACAAACCCTAATCGCTGCAGTCATCTTTAACGTAATCTGACAATCCCCTCCCCATCTTCATCTGGTACCTCTAACTTAGCACATAGTTTCTCTCGTTCACGTGAGTAGCTTGATTGGCTTTATTATTGGATTCGTGCCGTTCAAAACGGGCTCAATGTGAAGCTATTGTATGGGATGCGCGCATGGTATTTATTCCAGAATAATCGAGAATTCATCTCAACTTAAAGTGGTTCGTTTTGGGTAAACTCCATATTGATACTCATCTATACGCATGACGGTGGTGTGTAAATAATCGTGATACATAGTTCATTGATTGATATTGCGTGCAACGATCAACGCCGTCGGGTTATAATGATTTGCCAACCCTCCAATTCGTACATACATGTAACTGTATAGGTGACAACAATACTAGTCTGTCATATTATGAACTACGGATTGTGTTTAGCAATACAGACACGGCAAAAGCCGTTGTAATAAAAATAAAACATACATTTTATTGTGCGTAATTTTATTCTATTATAGCCGTGAAAATTATATAAATGGATCACTGAAAATCAGTGATGACACCAGGTGTTAGCGAAATGGGTAAGCATGTCCTGCCCTAGAATGTCCCACTAACAAAGGTTGAAAAGTGGACAGTACTTCAAATAGTATGAAGCCTGTTTCCGTATGATACTAAACCAGGAAGTAATACCTACCATTTTATTATAGATATATTATAGATAAAGAGGTTTATTTGTCCTATCAAGGGGCCATAATTCCAAATATGTTCGCAGGGATTCCGGGGAGAATATACACATATTTTACCTATGATTCTCTAAAAACTCTCCTTCTCCTGAGAGGGGGGGGCACGGGTGGTCCAGTCGTCTGAGGAGCCGCAATTCGCTATGCAGAGTTGCGTCCCTTGGGCACACCAGAAACCTATGATTGTGGGTTTCGAAACCCGGTTCGCCCCGATTATGTTTCTAGGTTTGTCATACCCGTGCTCGTGGGTTTCACCGAAGGAGGTTATCATCTGAGACCTTCGGGCTTCCCTTCCACATTTAGCTGACACGCCGTGATATAACTGGAATACTGTTAAAAGCGACGTTAAACCCAACTCACACACTCACTCATTCTCCTAAGAATTAGAACAAGTAATCAGCCTCAGTGCCAACAAACAAACAAGCAACTATGGACGTTATACACTTTAGCTACACTGACAGGTTGACTCTACTAATTTATTGTCTGCATTGTGCATACTCCACTGACGGATTCAGTGACCGAAACTAACACAAGATTCAATGGCAGGTACGTTCTTCCTTATGAGAATGTTTATGAGAACGTTTGGCTTCATTAAAACATTGCGTTTAAGATTCCTTCTTGTGAGGTTCTGAACTATAGATGCGCCTAGTATCTGCATTGACCTCTTGTTGCTGGTATTGGATGCTAAAAACCTCTATGAAACCATACGTCACCTGATTGAATACATGTGATGATCACAGCGGGGACGCTGGGAATGAGCATTACACGTTGTACCGATCTGGTGTTACTAACACTTGACCACGAAGTTACCCCAGCTGATTGATCGATCTCACGAACTCTACATGATATATATCATTCGTCACCTCTCGCCCCTTTCCGTAACCTGCAAGAAGACTCGTCCCCCTATCGATGAATGTTTTGTGCGAAAATACGACAAACCAATCAGAATGCGCGTATGATTTCAGGTTCTTCATCAAAGAATCCCTCAGAAATAATTTTTGATTTTACATATAACTTGCATCTAAAAATATACCATGACACAGGACACAGTTAAATGTGTTCAATCATCGTGTATAATTCCGCATGTCCAGATGTGCTATAAATTGCACCTGAAATATATATAATAAATGATGAAATATGTGTGAAACGAGTTGACAATTGTTTTAGGTATGCCCGTTTGCCCGGTCGCAATAAATGGCCACGAGAGGGGCATGAGTCGCTATTCGAATGAATATAGTATATATATATAATATGACAGGAAAATGATAAGGGTATTTACAATGGCACGTATTGCTAATTTATAGTACGCGCTAAACGCGCTAATTTATTAAGTTTTTTCAACACATTGTCTGGTTGGGAAGGTCACATGAATAAAACCAAACTAAAACAAGTATTTGTCACAATTTATACACCTGTATATACACCATAGTACCAAATATGAAGACAATCCAGCGATTAGTTCTTGAGATATCGCGGTAACACCGTTTTCCAACTGCAAAAGCATATTTGCCTGCTGTGACCTTGAAAATGGGGTCAAGGTCACC